GCAACGTTCCAGCTAGGGTCGTCTTTGACAGCGCAATCACAAGCTGCGTCCAGGTTTTAGACAAGACCTTCACCAGCGCAATCACAAGACTACGTCCAAGTATTTCGCAAAAGTAACCTTTCTCACCCGATCAACATTCAAGTTCGAATTCTCTACAAAACTGGTCTAAAGAAAGTTGCTCAGGAAAAATTCCTAGTCGGGTGGCCATTGTTAGCTTATTAACAGGCAGGATCCAAGTTTATGGTCAAAACCCCTTGTATTTCGGAAAAACGTCCTCTCCCGACCGGTCAACATCCAGATTCGAATTCTACACAAATATCTGGTTTAGAATAAGATGGTCCGGTAAAGTTCTTCCTCGGTGGGCAATGCTCCTCCTTGTGACTCTGGACAAAAATAGTTGGCATGGCTCTCTGTCTAGACTGAATCAAGCTGTTGGTAAGAACATTGTGAAAAACTCAATTTTATCCTGCCACACAGTCACGAAATTTGGATCATGCATCACAGGTTCTTCTCAAAGCAAAAACACATTTTGATTGTTTGTAATGATAGTTGCCAATAAAAACTTAATCGCGACCCGGTCTCAAGTTCATACCTCCAAAATTGTACCCAGCTCGACAGCAAAACATAGAATAATGTCACACAGCCACAACAATGAGCTTTAGAAGTATCACCAGATTTAAAGAAACCAAAATCTTATTAGCGAAAAAAATTACTTTCACAAAAATTTTCACATCCAGTCACAAAAATTACTTGATGAGTTTTTTGTTCCATGTTAACATTGTGGTTTTTTCCATTCTAATGAACACATCAAAGGCATCTAAGACACAGATTTGCGGAATGAATCGAAAAACTCGATGCCGTCACTGAAAACAAGAGATTATTTTCTGCATTTGTTCCATATTTTCTGCATTTTCTGCAAATGAGTTTTTTTATTCCATGTTAACTTTGTGGTATTTTCCATTCTAATGAACACATCAATAGCATCTAAGACACAGATTTGCAGAATGAATCGAAAAACTCGATGCCGTCACTGAAAACAAGAGATTATTTTCTGCATTTGTTCCATATTTTCTGCATTTTCTGCAAATGAGTTTTTTTATTCCATGTTAACTTTGTGGTATTTTCCATTCTAATGAACACATCAAAGGCATCTAAGACACAGATTTGCAGAATGAATCGAAAAACTCGATGCCGTCACTGAAAACAAGAGATTATTTTCTGCATTTGTTCCATATTTTCTGCATTTTCTGCAAATGAGTTTTTTTATTCCATGTTAACTTTGTGGTATTTTCCATTCTAATGAACACATCAAAGGCATCTAAGACACAGATTTGCAGAATGAATCGAAAAACTCGACGCCGTCACTGAAAACAAGAGATTATTTTCTGCATTTGTTCCATATTTTCTGCATTTTCTGCAAATGAGTTTTTTTATTCCATGTTAACATTGTGGTTTTTTCCATTCTAATGATTACATCAAAGGCATCTAAGACACAGATTTGCAGAATGAATCGAAAAACTCGACGCCGTCACTGAAAACAAGAGATTATTTTCTGCATTTGATGAGTTTTTTGTTCCATATTAACTTTGTGATATTTTGCATTCTATTGAAAATATCCAAGGCATCTAACCTAAACCACAGATTTGATGTTTCAATCGAAAAACGCGTCGATGTCACTTAACATTGAGACGGGAACAATCCGAGAAATTGAAAACTATACTATCTTTGCTCGGGAACAGTAGACCAAATAGACCTATGGTCACAAAACCATTACCAAACACGAAACTCTATCAGATTGAGGAATTCTAAATTTGATTTTGCAGGCATAGTAGATGTACGGACCATTGCAATTAAAGAAACGTTTAACGCGACATTTCAATTCGAAACTATCAACGAAATTGATAAAAATAGCAAACATGGCATGGAAACATCTGACTCAGATTCGCATGTAACAGTTTAGAATACAACATTTGAAATTTTTAATTTGAGTTACATTGATCCTTTTGCTTTTCTTCTACTAAAACCACATTCTTAGAAAGGCAGTGAAGCAGAGTTATCGATGACGTATCTAGGGGAAGCCGGGAGGGTAATATTTCCTTTTCGGGTTTGATGTATTAAGAACTGTTAGGAAGAGGCTTGATCCGATGTGGTGAGTCTTGAGATTGACCTGAAGCCAAAATAAAAAAGCCAAATAGCCAAAACAAAACATAAATAGTAAGTGGTTACTCAGTACTTATTATTTTCGTAATTTTACGAACCTCCAGTCACTTTATCGCTGTGCTGTGTTTTTTTCATTATGGAGAGTCTCGATATTGACCTGAGAAAACAAATGGCGAAAATAGAACATAAATAATAAGTGGTTATCTGGAACTTATAATTTTCGTAATTTTTCATTATCGCGTGAGGCAAAGTAACATTATCGCGTGAGGCAATATAACAATGGTTTTTTCTAGTTCTTTGTATAATGAACTGTAAAAAGCAGGCATGCTCGGATTTGGTGAACAAATGAAAAGTTAAACATACTTAGTAAGTGGTTATTCGGTACCTATCATTTTCGTAATTTTTCAACGAAACATTATCGCTGCGCTGCTTTTTTCATTTGTTGTTAAGACATTTATTCTTTTTTTGGATATTGTCTATCAGAAAACGTTGTTTGTTGACTGTAGTAAGGCTAGGCCGTCAGGAATGACTGTTGTTAGATTTTGATAAAGAGGTGTATTAGAAATTTGATCTGGAACGGGAAAAACGGAAAAGAGTGGAAAAAGATGGGCAGAAGAAAGATATTCCCCGTAACTCTGTGAACCTGTCACTTTTATTCAGCCTACTGAGAATATATTTTAAGTTCCCACAAAACATGACGGATGCATTACAACGTTGAAAAGAGCTTCGACGCAATTCAAGATGGAGGGACCATCTAAAACTGGCAAAAGTTGACTTAATTTTGGAGAGGGAAGAATACTTCAAGATTGCAAGAATTTGTGATTAACAAAAAAATTCATATTGTACGCAATGGCCTGCCAAATATCATTATCAATCTCGGTAACGGTGAAAAGAAATTTTAAGCCTTCTACCAGAGTTTGAGCAAATGGTTGAGAAATACCCTGTGATCCAAAGATTAAAAATCCCATGGAATGCTGTGTTATAGACCGACACGATGGTAATAAGAAATTCTGAAAGTAAATTGTGGAGACTCCAAGGTTAGCGAAAACTGGCAGTACCCCTTCATATTCGTCACGAGAAACGTATTAATAGATATGTAGCAAGACTTATTGTTCAATTTTCTGTTTTTATCTTAAAAGTTGTTACGTCACCAATGCAGTTGCAAAAGACACCAGTTCACTCAAAGGCAACGCTCACTGTATTGGATATGCAGCAGCGATAAATTTTATTTAACTTTTTACAGTTTTCAACTCTAAAACATGATTTCCAGCATATATTAAAATCAACACATGATTCTGTCAAATAAACAATCCATCATTGCATTCCATGCCTTGTTTTTCTGTTTTCTTCAAAATTCAAACCTGCATTTTTAATTTTAAAATACCAATTCCCCGGCAATCGATATTTCTTCATTACCACGTTCGTAGGCTCGTGCAAGGGCATGCCTTTCTGTCTGCAATATTGTGTTTCGAGAAAAGACTATAAATCGCCCTCTCCTCTTAGAGACACAATTTTCTAGTAGCTCGTTTGTTTTTAGTATAATTTTCTTGCGTTTACTCTGTCAAAAATTGTTTACGCAATAATGTGATGGAACGATGCTTTTATTCATAGTATTTTTACTGATTTTCACTGCGGAGGCGTCAAGCATCAATTTCCACTCCTTGTAAGTGTTATTTCATATGGGTCTTGCTACCAAGAACTTTCAAAAATCTGTTTTTCTGGCAACTAGAGAAATATCGCTTATTTGCCCTTCATTGATAGTAGGACCCCGTCTCCGTCAGCCAATACAGGTCTCCTCTGCAAATTTCGAGATCTTGTTCTATTATAAGGCACCCTGCATTTGATCCTGCTCAAAAGTGTGATACCTTTTGAATTTGCCAGTATCAATATTCACAATTCACTGTTCTTTATTAAATTTATTATAGAAAAGCATTCTATTTGTCAGATTTATAAGACTAAATCCGGAATGATCATGTAAGTCTGAAGCAGACAGAAGAAATGCAGACTCTCTTCCTTTTTTTTCATCATCAACTATCAGAAAAATTCCTAGTCGGGTGGCCATTGTTAGCTTATTAACAGGCAGGATCCAAGTTTATGGTCAAAACCCCTTGTATTTCGGAAAAACGTCCTCTCCCGACCGGTCAACATCCAGATTCGAAATCTACACAAATATCTGGTTTAGAATAAGATGGTCCGGTAAAGTTCTTCCTCGGTGGGCAATGCTCTTCCTTGTGACTCTGGACAAAAAAAGTTGGCATGGCTCTCCGTCTATACTGAATCAAGCTGTTGGTAGGAACATTGTGAAAAACTCAATTTTATCCTGCCACACACTCACGAAATTTGGACCATGCATCACAGGTTCTTCTCAAAGCAAAAACACATTTTGATTGTTTGTAATGATAGTTGCCAATAAAAACTTAATCGCGACCCGGTCTCAAGTTCATACCTCCAAAATTGTACCCAGCTCGACAGCAAAACATAGAATAATGTCACACAGTCACAACAATGAGCTTTAGAAGTATCACCAGATTTAAAGAAACCAAAATCTTATTAGCGAAAAAAATTACTTTCACAAAAATTTTCACATCCAATCACAAAAATTACTTGATGAGTTTTTGTTCCATGTTAACATTGTGGTTTTTTCCATTCTAATGAACACATCAAAGGCATCTAAGACACAGATTTGCAGAATGAATCGAAAAACTCGATGCCGTCACTGAAAACAAAAGGATTATTTTCTGCATTTGTTCCATATTTTCTGCATTTTCTGCAAATGAGTTTTTCTATTCCATGTTAACTTTGTGGTTTTTTCCATTCTAATGAACACATCAAAGGCATCCAAGACACAGATTTGCAGAATGAATCGAAAAACTCGATGCCGTCACTGAAAACAAGAGTTTATTTTCTGCATTTGATGAGTTTTTTGTTCCATATTAACTTTGTGATATTTTGCATTCTATTGAAAATATCCAAGGCATCTAACCTAAGCCACAGATTTGATGTTTCAATCGAAAAACGCGTCGATGTCACTTAACATTGAGACGGGAACAATCCGAGAAATTGAAAACTATACTATCTTTGCTCGGGAACAGTAGACCAAATAGACCTATGGTCACAAAACCATTACCAAACACGAAACTCTATCAGATTGAGGAATTCTAAATTTGATTTTGCAGGCATAGTAGATGTACGGACCATTGCAATTGAAGAAACGTTTAACGCGACATTTCAATTCGAAACTATCAACGAAATTGATAAAAATAGCAAACATGGCATGGAAACATCTGACTCAGATTCGCATGTAACAGTTTAGAATACAACATTTGAAATTTTTAATTTGAGTTACATTGGACCTTTTGCTTTTCTTCTACTAAAACCACATTCTTAGAAAGGCAGTGAAGCAGAGTTATCGATAACGTATCTAGGGGAAGCCGGGAGGGTAATATTTCCTTTTCTGGTTTGATGTATTAAGAACTGTTAGGAAGAGGCTTGATCCGATGTGGTGAGTCTTGAGATTGACCTGAAGCCAAAATAAAAAAGCCAAATAGCCAAAACAAAACATAAATAGTAAGTGGTTACTCAGTACTTATTATTTTCGTAATTTTACGAACCTCCAGTCACTTTATCGCTGTGCTGTGTTTTTTTCATTATGTAGAGTCTCGATATTGACCTGAGAAAACAAATGGCGAAAATAGAACATAAATAGTAAGTGGTTATCTGGTACTTATCATTTTCGTAATTTTTCATTATCGCGTGAGGCAAAGTAACATTATCGCGTGAGGCAATATAACAATGGTTTTTTCTAGTTCTTTGTATAATGAACTGTAAAAAGCAGGCAGGCTCGGATTTGGTGAACAAATGAAAAGTTAAACATACTTAGTAAGTGGTTATTCGGTACCTATCATTTTCGTAATTTTTCAACGAAACATTATCGCTGCGCTGCTTTTTTCATTTGTTGTTAAGACATTTATTCTTTTTTTGGATATTGTCTATCAGAAAACGTTGTTTGTTGACTGTAGTAAGGCTAGGCCGTCAGGAATGACTGTTGTTAGATTTTGATAAAGAGGTGTATTAGAAATTTGATCTGGAACGGGAAAAACGGAAAAGAGTGGAAAAAGATGGGCAGAAGAAAGATATTCCCCGTAACTCTGTGAACCTGTCACTTTTATTCAGCCTACTGAGAATATATTTTAAGTTCCCACAAAACATGACGGATGCATTACAATGTTGAAAAGAGCTTCGACGCAATTCAAGATGGAGGGACCATCTAAAACTGGCAAAACTGGAATGCTATGTTATAGACCGACACGATGGTAATAAGAAATTCTGAAAGTAAATTGTGGAGACTCCAAGGTTAGCGAAAACTGGCAGTACCCCTTCATATTCGTCACGAGAAACGTATTAATAGATATGTAGCAAGACTTTTTGTTCAATTTTCTGTTTTTATCTTAAAAGTTTTTACGTCACCAATGCACTCAAAGGCAACGCTCACTGTATTGGATATGCAGCAGCGATAAATTTTATTTAACTTTTTACAGTTTTCCTCTCTAAAACATGATTTCCAGCATATATTAAAATCAACACATGATTCTGTCAAATAAACAATCCATCATTGCATTCCATGCCTTGTTTCATATGGGTCTTGCTACCAAGAACTTTCAAAAATCTGTTTTTCTGGCAACTAGAGAAATATCGCTTATTTGCCCTTCATTGATAGTAGGACCCCGTCTCCGTCAGCCAATACAGGTCTCCTCTGCAAATTTCGAGATCTTGTTCTATTATAAGGCACCCTGCATTTGATCCTGCTCAAAAGTGTGATACCTTTTGAATTTGCCAGTATCAATATTCACAATTCACTGTTCTTTATTAAATTTATTATAGAAAAGCATTCTATTTGTCAGATTTATAAGACTAAATCCGGAATGATCATGCAAGTCTGAAGTAGACAGAAGAAATACAGACTCTGTTCCTTTTTTTTCGAATTCAGTTAAAATCAGCTTGAACAATCAGTTACCATCAGAAATCCTGAGGCTTTTTGCAGAGTTACGCCGTCTCGGATGAAGAACTTTGTTGAAATATTATTTGCCATGGCGGAGGAATAACAACAAAAAATCCATACATTGTTCAATCTCGAAAATATAGAAGTAGGCCGAATGGTTTTGTCACGGAAGAGTGGTCACCAGTGTACTAACAAAAAGATTACAATAAATTGAAGACTTAAGTTACATCTACCATGCTGATAATCATCATCATCAGTATTTGCCAAATTTGGAGATACTTCATTGAAGTTTTATATTTTAGTTTATTCAAAATAGTGAATTCTATCAAGTCCAATTATGCTATTTTCAGATGTCTATCATACTCTTGATGTCTTTTTCCCAAAAAGAGCGCCCTTAAGCATCCTAAAAGTTCATATGTAAAAATTGCTGGCATTTGGCTAATGTTCCATAGATCCCCATCAAAAGGAACAAAGGTACTAAGATAGGTCTTTGAACCATGGGAACTGTTGTTCCTTTGTGTTAGGAACGTCTCATCAATTTTAGGATATGCTGCTAACGTGCCGTTATGGGAATTACCGACCTTTGGTCGCTCGCTTTTCCTATACATTCTAACATAAATTTGAATATACGTTCTCAACTTCCTTCGTTCTCAAGTACTTTTGGGCCATTCTCCTTTGCTCATTTTAGTTTAGTCACGTTTCTCCGTAAAACAAAACAAGAATCAAAGGATGGTAGTTCGAATATCATTCCATATGACGTCATTTTAAGTGAAACATTTGCCAAATGGATGTGCAGCTCTACCGGTGGTGCTCGCACGAAGGCACATGCAAATCAGATTTGCTCTCGTGTCCTCAAGTTTATTCAGTACTCTCAGGACGATCTTATGTTCGAAGGGATCGAGGGGCCTAAAATTGAATACTTTTTGGCTTCAATGGCATGCTTGTCAGCTTTTTTACATCATTTGGAGGATGAGAAATCTATTGGATTTGCTGGGAGCGTTAGTTACATCAATGCTTTGTTGGAAACAATGGAGTATAGAAAGTTTAAAGGAGTGTCAGCTTCCATCTTATCAAATTTTAGTGCTGCAGAGGTATTTTTGAAGCGCGCCAGAAGATGTATTGCTCGTAAGATGCATGTACAGTGGACTGTAGAATTGGATGTTGATACCTTGGAGAGAAAAGGACATTGGGCATCACTAAAAGACTTACAAAAGGTCATACCGTTTCACATGGGACGATACAAGAAAATAGTGGCCAAATGTCGAGAGCATTCAGCAGAAGTTTCAGCGTCTGATCTAACTTTTTCAACGAGATTTATAACGACATTTCTCTTCTTTCGTGTCAAGGGTTCTCGGCCAATGACATACCAATTCCTAACAATTGGCATACTACGTGTTTGCTTGTCTATGAAGCTATTGGCAAGTATGTGCACCCAACACGTTACCAACAAATAATAAAAAACAGAGTCCTGATGTTCTATCCCTCGAAGAACAAGAGCTAATACTTCAAATGTTGCAAGGATTCATTATTGCAAAAAGCGTTCGAGAGTCGTTCTCGAAAAGGGGAATCACTGTATTTAGAAGCTGAGGGGAGAATCTAGAGAACAACTCGACAGCTCTTTGAAAAAACTCGTCAGTGTTTCGACGGGTGCGGAAGACTCTGAGTTGGACTCAGTGGCGAAGCCAAAGGTCCTGCTTGTCCTGCCGGGCAGGACCACGAATTTCCAAAGATAACAATTTTTAAAATATTAAAAATTCATTCATTTTATGAAATCATTATATGCCTGATTCAAAGGCATTTCTTGTCTTATTCTACACTTATACTTCGTGGCTGTGCCCTTTTTCAATTTTGAGACACATGGTGACTGGAATGGAATTTCGAGTATCCCGTTCGTAAATTGATAACGTCAAAAATTTAGCCCTGTGGTCAGTCCTGCCCAATACTCGTAGGCAGGACTAAACCCTATGTTCGGTCCTGCCCAACAATGGGCAAAAGCCTTGTAGCCCTGTTTTTGGTCCTGCCTCACAATAGAAGAAAACAATGGCACTCCTGACCACAGAATAGAAATGACACTGTGTGACACAGAATGACACTCTTTCATGAAGGCAGGACCTAGACTTTTGGAGCCCTATGTTTCGGTATAATTTGTTGATTTTCTGTGCCGTGGTCAAAGGTCACAAAGAATTTTCACTCAGGCCATAGTCAGGCTTAACTATTTTGATATCATGGATAAAACAAACTGTAACCGTCATGATTCTGCTGCTGAAGAGGTTTTTGCTGCTAGAAGCTTCGGCCCTACACTGTCGTCACTTGATTTATACAAGAATCAATCGTTTCAAGACGAGTGGCACTTATGGAAATCAAATTGTTTAGGGTCGTTCTGTCGGTCCTATTTACTGTTAAAGTCAAGAATATCACAGACATCGCGAGAAACCTGACATTTAATAGTTTTCTCTCAGACTGCAGAGAGCAAAGGAAGTCATATTCGAAGGCCTATTATAAACAGTAGAAAAAGTTTGGCGCCGCCGCCGAGAGAGAATCTTCGTTTTATTGTACCAGGAAAGTCGAGATGGAGGGGAGATGGAGTGTGCATGACAGAAAAATGGCTTGCTTAAATTTAATTTCAGCAGTTCGTCCTCCTGCCTTAAACAGGAATTACCATACAATTCAGAGGTCCCGATGAAAAGGACGCTTTGAAAAGGATGAAAAGGAAAACAATGGTAATTACTGGGAGCTTTTGTACTCGGTGACTCAGATTGTTTTCTACTGGCAAAATGTCAGGGGTCTCCTCAGATATTTCAAGACCCTATCTACCGTGCATCAGACATATCCATGTTGTGACAAAATATTTTTACTTTTTTAAAACAATTTGAATCAATTATGTTTCCAGTATGTATTACAACTGTATATGCCTATCTGTACAAGCAATTTCTTTTTAGTCAATGATTTCAAAATTGTCAACCAATGAAAACATTTTCAAATGTGACTTATTTTAGAAAGAACTTTTGTAATGCTCTTTTGACAAGGATCCGAACCTTCATCCTTTTTTTTCCAAAATGTGGCAGTGAAAAATGTTTCACTGCAATCTTGATTTCAACATATCCAGAAGGGCGTTTCCCCCTTTTCCGAGGGGCTCTAAGGGGGGCTCTACGCGATTTTTCATGGGGGCGAGGCCCCCAGACCCCCTTAGGACAGGACCACCTGTTCTTGGTTAGCTTCGCCACTGGTCGGACTCGGACATTTTCATTACACAGAGCAGTACCAAACCTGTGGAAAAGACAGACAGCGACTGCCAGATGACGTCAAATCAAAAGCGTATAACACCATTCACTGAGAAGGAGAAATTGAATTTGCTAAAGAGAATAAACAAACATGGTTATGGCAAATGGGGCAAAATACTTTCGCACCCGAGCTTACATTACTAAATATTATATTACTTACATTACTATACATTATAAAATGTTTGGCTGGGCTTTTCCCTATAAAGTTTGACAAGGCAGTGAATGGTCTTCCGTTCTCGCAATGATTTTGGCTTCTAATCTCGGATGGGTATGCCGTACTATACATTATAAAATGTTTGGCTGGGCTTTTCTCTATAAAGATTGACAAGGCATTGAGTTGTCTTCAGTCCTCGCAATGATGTTGGCTTCTGATCTCGGATGGGTGTGCCATACTATGCATTAATCCCCTCTTGGCTACCTGGTCATAACTATAAAAAACCTAAGTTAAGTTAGCTTGTACATTACCCAGGGTGGGAGTAGGTGTCAGGCATTGGGCGTTTGTGTATTGGCCCATGCCTGCCTGACCGAATTAATCAAAATTTTACGGTCGGTGATTGGCAAAAGTAAATTTCCGGCAGGCGCCAATACACCAGTACCGCAGAGGAATGGAAGACTGCAGAAAACATTGGTAGGTAGAAAAGGTTGGAGCATAGGATAGAAAAGCGGGTCGGGAGGGTGGGGAGAAAATACAGCACACTGCCATAAATATGACTCGTTGAGTTGGCAGCTGGATGCAAAGAGGGCGGTTAACAAGACCTCGTGGTTGAAATACAATTGCTGCACTTAGGATTGCTGCTTCACAGCGACCAAGTGTATTAACTCCGGTTAAACCGGGCTCTAACCGTCATTTATAAAATGTTGGGCTGGGCTTTTCCCTATAAAGTTTGACAAGGCAGTGAGTGGTCTTCCGTCCTCGCAATGATGTTGGCTTCTAATCTCGGATGGGTGTGCCATACTATACATTATATAATGTTGGGCTGGGCTTTTCCCTATAAAGTTTGACAAGGCAGTGGCCTTTGATTATGGCATCGAGATCACCAGCCCATCAACATGAGAACGAGGTCAGAAGCCTTGGATATCCTTGCAAACATATGGATGCAAGCCCAGCCCAAAGAAAGGTTTTGTATCTATCATATCAATGAAATGACAATGAGGTTATAAGACCATTTTATTTCAAGGCTGGAAGACGAACCTTTGTCTGTAACCTATCGACTGAAGCCATTTAAAAGGTTTAATATATTATCTAGTTACAAATTTTCCTCGTGCAAGTCTCAGCATTGTAATATTTGCTTTAAGAATTGAAGCTACTGGCGTGTAAGCATTTCACAGGCGTTTATGATTCTTTTAGAGAAGAGAATAACAAAAATCACAATTTTACTTGAAAGTTTTTTATTCAGATACACTCTCCTGGGGATACCTATAGTCTTCAATTTTAAATGAAATGTGGTGTTTAAGGGGTTCAGGGTACTTATCTAAGACGACAATGTAATACCCATCAATTGGAATATGAAAAATTTTAGTTGACAATTTATACTTGCTACTAAAGACAATGCCATTTTTAATAGTCTCTAATGTGGAATAGTTCATCTTTGCCTATTTTTCTCTGCTCACATCAAACACGATGTATCGCTTTCGTTCCAGGCATAAGCTGTGTCTTTCATTGTTGTCGACGTGAAATACAAAGAACTTTTTGTTGCCAGAATGTACTTTGCAAGAAAGGCCTTGCCGGTATTTCCTGTTTTGTCAACAACGAAGGTTATTCTATGTGGCCCCTGGCAGCGAAGCAGACGCAAAACCTCTTCTTGCCATGGTCGTAGAAGTGCAGTTCTAAACTTGTCCAAAATCCTTTCCTTACACTTCTCATTTTGCTTCCGCTTGATGCTTTTGTCAACTGAGGACTGACTATGTATCCAGGTGTCCCCAAATTCTTCCAGCATGGCATCTTCGGTGGCTTCTTGCATTCGTCTCTCTCTCATCATTTCAAATTGACTTTTTTCTCTGTCTTTGAATTTATTCTCTCAAATTTCAAAAAATCCTTGCCCACACTTGCACTGAGCCTTGTGCTTCCTCGACGAGCCTCTAGCTATTTCTATTTCCAGTCGCTCTGGTCTTCCCTCAATATTGAGTATTGTTTCAGCGCTGTTCACTCTTTTCTGGCATTTAAAGATAATATATCCACGGAGGGATTGTGCTTGCCCTTCGCTGTCTACCTTCGATGCTATAAGTCTTCTCTTCGCTGTTCCAGTCGCTCCATGACATCATCTGGAAAACACTTGTAGACAAATGTCCAACACTTCGCTTTCGCTCCTCTTGCTCTCACTGCCATCGTACTCTTACTCTCCCCCAACAAACTGACAGAGTTTCTGCCTGAAACTTATAGGAACCAAGGAATCCCAAGGGTGAAGAAGGAACCAAGGAACATGAATTTTGGGAAATGGTCATCATCATCATCATCATCATCATCATCATCATCATCATCATCATCATCATCATCATCATCATCTCAGAAGAATGGCATAACGTGCCACTATGTTTACAAAAGTAACGATAACGACCCAAGTGGAATCAAGAATAGAAAATTGAATTGTAAAAGGAAACAATACAGTTTCTTCAATAAAAATATTTGCACGCTTCGGCCAAGTCTTGTCCAAAAATTTATTATTCACTGTATTACATATTTTTTCAATTGGTGTTGTATTTTACAAAAAGTTCATTGGAATTCGCTGCCAGTTGAATTTGTTTTATTTTCTGTTAACACAAGGTGTATACCTTTCCAAAAATTGCAGTTGAAAGTTTCTTGGTTGGCGAAGAGCTATTATTGCTGAAAATGCTGAATATAACATCCCAAGTCAAGGGAACCACTCAACAGATACTTTATAAAATCAACAGTTTAAAAAACTTCGTTTAACTTTTATCAACGCATCATTACATAATATGCTTTAATTTTACCATGTTTTTAACAATCAATTTGCAGACTTAATTAAGCCTTGCTTGCCATCGATGCTAATCCAACAAAGACGTATAAAATAGTATTTTGGAAATACTTCCTCAAAAAAAATATTAATAAATTTGTACTATCAAATTAGTACGACAGTTTTCGTGATTATTTGATATTTGCGCAATTGAAACCTTTTTGATCAACTATTTTTCCATTCAGTCCCAGCGGCTTTTTTTAAGTTCTCTGAACCACTTTTGCAATCGTTTTGATGAAATGAATATCTCTTTCAATAGATTACATTGCACATGCCCAAAACACTTGACTAAAGAAGACAGACGAAGAAAAAGAAAATGGAAAAAGGGCCTTTAATGAAGACAAATGATAGGTGCACACAAAGAAGGATCGTTTAGTTTCCTTTGCTCTTTAGCAACATTTTCCTTGATTGAAATTTGTGTATGAAGGAAAAAAAGGCCGTTGTAGCAAAATGGTTTCAAGTTTTCTCAATACGGATTTTTTTCCCTTGGTACACCCTGTCAGCCATCTCTGTAGAAATATATTTCATTGACTTTTTTGAATTTTTGAATCATGATGAAGTATTCTCATTGTTGATGATAAAGGATTTAAACACCAAACAATGGTCTGTTTATGAATAAGTAACTGCCTTTTCTTACCACGCAAGCCTTCTGGTTATTCGCTTTTAATGAAACACCTCTTAATTTTTAAAGGTTGGAGTTCAGTTTTAGTTGGCAGTAATTATAAATGATCATCAATCTTAAGATTTATGTCCCAATAACATTGGTATCACTTGATATTTCACTTTTATAAACATAGTAAAATAACTTTTTTACTCCTAATCACTACATGCTGTCCCAGAATTTGGTAGTTAATCTTGGTATCGTATCAAGGTTTTTTTTTTTTGATATTCAGGGATTTGTATGACGATTTCCAAAAGAGCAAACAGTTCAACGATAAAGATGTTGAAATGCCTGTGGATCACAAGCTAAGGAAAAGGTCAATCCGTGTCATCTACTTGATTTCCCTTTTCGGTGGAATAGGTAAAATAATTTTTTTTCTGCCATTCTTTTAATGTTTGTAAAACTTTATAAGTTTTTAGATAAGACTTTCTTTGTAATGGAACCCTGTAAATTGCTTATTCTTTTTCTCAGTTTCACCAAGAATCTGGAAATACGATAAATGTTTATCAGCAATATTTTACAAACCATGATTTGTTTGTGATTATTACTTGAAAATGCTTTGAATCGAATGATGAAAAGAGAGAAAAAATTGAGAAAGAAAAAACTCTTACTAAGTTACTTTTACTCTTTGCAGCGTATACAATTACAATGCCATCACTCTGGCCCTATATGAAAAAGGTATGGTCAAAAGTCTTCTGTGTTCTTTTCCTGTCAAATTTTAGATTAGCACAATATTTTCAAAAGTAGAAGGACATAACATTAAACTTTTTTCTTTAGCATTAGAACTTCTTGAATCGAGCACTTATTTGCAATAAATAAACTAGTGATTTCTTAAAATTTGAATAATGTAGTTTAGAAGTGTTGAATAATTTAGATATTTTTTCATCGATCTTATCAGTGTATATGCTCAAGATGACAACGTACTTATCCATCAAACTCATTGACATTTTTCTTTGCCACTCTATTTGTGTAACTTGATGTTTATGTATTTTAGTACGTTTGCATTTGTTTCTTGTTCACCCCCTCTTTTAGCTTGATCAGTTTGTGAAACCATGGTATCTGGGAATGGCCAATGGCGGCTATAGTCTCGGACAGCTGATTGGTTTGGTTGTATTTAGTGCATTCCACCAAACTCATGGAGCCCGCACGCCTCTTTTTGCATGCTTTCTGCTCAAATTTTCTGGAGATTGTTTGCATGTGTTTGCAGCAGCATTTCCTGGAAGAAATGGAGTAACCATGCTTATAGCGGCACGATTTGTAACCGGTTTGTCAAATGGTGCGAAAATCTTGCTTTTCTAACACTGAACAGATATTTAAATTGGCGCCTTTTCTTGCATATAACTTTGGATCCGAACTTCGACAAAAATTACCACTTAATTGATTGTAATTGTTTTGGTTTTTTCCAAGCTATCGAAGAGAGTTTTCACAACATGGGGACAGAGCAGTATCCTGGTACTTTCCTCGAGTAGCAGAGGGCTTTCGACTCTGAAAGTGGGATTATGTATTTGACTAGAACCCAACCCTCTTGTGTCTGTAGTGTGAGCCATTGATCAAATGATAATCTCATGTGCCTATGTCCTTTTAAAGGTTTATACTATTTTATCGAGTAAATGGTAGGGTGTCATTATATAAATGGTGTTGTTTTGTTACTAGGTCAAGTGGTTGTTTGTCGCACTGTCTTGGCACAATCATCAACTCTGAAGGAAAGAAAGATAATCTTTGCTTCCCTTTTCACAATTTACGCATTAGGATATGGACTTGGGCCAGGTAAATGTTTAGCCTTTATCTCAACCAAGTTAAGAAGACGAGCTTTGTTGTGCATCATAGTGGCGGATCCAGCCAAAAAATTGAAATGAGATAGAGGATCGACCACGCCCTTAAGACCACACCAATTTCTTGGTCACACCCTTATTATTTACTGTAATTTCTTATGTAGACCATTCTCAAGACATAAGCTGTGCTTAAGTGAAATTTCAAGTATCCTTACAACAACTTTCAGAAGCAACAAATAATCTTATTCAATATTCTGAGGATGGATATTCTAAAAATATTTATGGTATTTAGCCGAGGAACACCATAGAATAAGAAAAAAGACACATTTGGCAGAATTTTGAAATGTCGCCTAAAACTTGCATTAAGTCGCACAATTAGATATGAAAATCAGACCTGTTGGAAATTATAAGTTACATAAAGCCAGATAAAATTTGCAATTGTTGAGAGCAACTTTTGTTAAACAAAGAATAATACTTTTGGCGAACTTTGTGAGCCTGACTTTTATTCCTGGTGCCTTCTTAAATTTACAATAATTCCCAAAGATTTTCTAAAAGTTGGCCCTTTTTGACTAGAAAAATTTTGAAATGCCCAAAAGTGACAGGGTTTCATCAAGCAGATTCTCGACGTATGTAGCAACCCACCAAAAACTGCGAATATTTGTTGCATAGAAGCGTTTGCAAGCTTTTCTAAAAAAGTAGCAATTGGCTGCCGGATTACAAAACAGGCTCAGGATCAGCAAACGACGTCATCAAGCGTCTTGAACTTTCAGATCTACCACTGGAAGACGTAATGTTTCACAAATATGATCCAGCTGCAAAAATGTCTAGAAAATTCAATCGTGCTCAGCAGAAGATCAACGATCTGCTTGGAAGGGAAATACCTTACACAAAACGTGTGATAATCTTGTGATAGAGCATGGCTGTAAGGCCTCTTTGCTTATTCAAAAGGTGTTTGCTGTTTTGAAAGAATATTCGTTATATTTAAAAAGAGCACTAAAAGAAATGCGTTCTCGAGAGAACATAGAAAAGATGGGGAAAACTTTTTGAAGCTGAAAAACCTGTCAAAGACAAGATGGTCAGCAAGGGAATAACAAATCAATTAGGACATCAATATTTTTAAAATACTTTTAGTGAATGTTTAGTAACGAACAAAATATTTCAGGTAAAAAAGGCGTTTTCATAGAAATCAAGTAGATTCAACCATACATCCCCAGTCGCAAAAGCTTGGGACGTTCCTGAGTGCAAGCACCGCTTTGGTTTAATCTGTAATTGACAAAACGTTTCTGGTGCTCTAATTACCTTCATCTATTCGCCTTTATTAGATGTCTTCCCAGTCGAAGAGCGAAAGCCCCCCTCCCTAGATGGACGAAACTGATGACGATAAAGCAAGGTATAAATAGCAATTGCACAGCAGCTTGAGAAATAAATGTTAAATTGTCTCCAATTTAATTGTTGGTCTGTTTTGTTTGACCATACAACTGTTAAATTAAAATTCGAAACTGGTGACATGATCTATTTTTTTGCTCTGAATTTAAACAGACTCATGCTTCGAAACTACATGTATTTCGTGTTTCGGTCAAAAATGGTATAGCGACTATAAAGTTTCGTAAAAATTGTATTTCCTCTACATAGAATGTCTTTCTATATCTATAATTTTTATATCCCAGTAGGTCTTTGTTTAATTTGATCACCATTTCAAAAGTTTTCGTAATCTGCGAACTGCATTTCCCTCACCAAGTTGAAATACTCCCCGTGCTGTTTCCTCTATTGAAGGATCGATCGTACATAATATCTATTATGCTATTTGTCTTGTGTTTGCCCCTGGCTTCCCCTCAGCAGCATCAGAATCAACAAACTTCGTCGATTAAAAGCAGCCATATTCGATTTTCATAAACAACAATCGAAAAGCTTGATTTTCGATTTTTGGACTTTATTTCGAAAGATTCTTCCGATGTAGTGGAAGTGGAGATTAAAGTCGGAAAACTTCCGTCGTTCGAAAATCGGAGATCGGATGCGAAATCCGAAATTCGAACGAAGAGGAAACAGTTAACAAATATTTTGAAAGAGGGGTTTTGTTTACCATCTTCCACTCGGAGTGTTTTACAAAATGGCGGACCATGAATCTCGATGCTTGTAACGATGCTGCCTAGTCTGAATCGTTCTTAACCATTTAGTTTTCATCCAATTCCACGCTTCGAGAACCTGTTTTCCACCTGTTCGTTAGGCAAAACAGCCCGTTACGACGAACTCTTCTCTTCTTTCCGCTGCCGTACGAGCGTACAAATTCTGTTTCTGTAAAATTCGTAAGATATTTCACGACACCCTTTCTTTAAATTGTTAATCGCACATTTCATAAAAGCTACATCAACAAAGCAATGTAAGCTTTGATCTTTGGATTGAAAAAGTCGAATTCAGAAAGAGAAAGTATCACCTAAAAACAATCGTAAGTGTGCATTAGTTTTTGAACAGAAAAAGCAGTGTCTTTGGAAATACAAGCATTTTTAACATTCATATGCTCTTTAAATAAAATAATGATAAATTTTCTGTTTCAGGGCTACAAGCTGTTCTGGCATTCATTCTCAAAAAAGAATATCGTCATTCGTTTATCATCATAGACGCCTTCAACGCTCCTGGCTGGCTTGGAATGGTTTTTCAAATTATCAGTTTCAGCTCTGTATTGATTTTATTTAAAGAGTACAACTTAACGAGCGACAACGAGACGAAAACAGGCTAGTGCGAGTTAAAATCATGTATAATTCTTTACTTAATATATATAGGTAAGTTTTCTGGATTTATCTTAATGGCTGCTTTACTAAAAACAAATATTGAAAAAGCATATTTTCCACTTGAATAACAATGAGATTGATAATATGTTTGCTTGCTTTTATTATCTTCTTAACAATTCAAAAATTGACTTCTTGCTTCATTCTTTATTTTAGATGACTTGCCAAAACCAGATACTTTTGCTCTGATTTTGGTCGCAGTTTGCCATTTTCTCATCTACTTAGTGTTTGCAGCAGTTGAGACGTAAGGAAGCGTTATCAGTTCCTGAATTTGAAACAGCGTGTTATTAAGCCTTTCTTCTTTTCGAACTTACCTTCTTGACTTTTCTGCAACGATGGATTATATAAGTTTAGAACTCTGAATATTGAAATAGAAACACATAAAAGAAGTATGTAAAATTACTTATTATATGACCACACCCAAAAGCAGTGTGATACGCCCTTTTGTCGGCAAAATACAATAAGATACCGCAGAACTTTTTGGCTTGCACATGCTGTCTGCCCACCTTTTCAGTGCCTGCATTTAACTATCCTCATAATTGTGCACTTTTGGGAACAAAGCCACGCCACTATACTCCATTAAATCCTCTATTAATGATACATTGCATTTTTTACTGCATAACAAGTATTTTCATTAAAAACGTATCCTGATAAATATGGACCCTTTACAAGGTACAAAAATTTTAAACCTGCACAATTCACGACGCTGTTACAGCGGTAAAAAGCTGTTTCAATTTTTATAAAGTTCTTGAATGATCCAGCAAATGTACCGTCTGCTTCAGAATTTTTAGATAAGACAAATTCTTTATAAAAAGCTCCATTTACTTTTTTGGAAAACATTAGCAATCATGAAAAAAAATCAAACTCTTTGTTGCTCGTTTTACCCTTTAGGCTGACAGCTCCTCTGATGACAGATGAACTAGCAATGACAAAACGAGCATCAGTTCTCAATGCTGGCATCCTGTTGTCCTCCCTTGGACCTATTGCAATTATATCACTTACCTTTGTCAAGTGTTCATCTAAAAGGTAACGCTTTAGCATTTATTCCATAACCAAATTTATATTTACATTTGCAAGTTGAAATTTACCAACTTATTTCTTGGTCTTTAATCAATCAAGAAGCAAAAATCCATTGTTTTTTTTCATTCAAAGAAGTATCCGACCCGCATTACTTTCTTGAGATAAACTTCTCAGAAAAATATAAAGCTACTTTTGGCAATATAAATAAAACAGGAAAGTACAAATAAATCCACTATTACATGTTATCGAATGTTATGAAAAACTGTTTTCCAACTTCTTCTTTGATCTAGAGTGAGTGAAAGGCAAGTGATTTTGGTAGGATGTACAATTGCGTTGGTAGGCTTTGTCATTTTTTTACCCTGGGGAAACACATATCCAACTCTTCAAACAGCAGGTGAGCAACGATACGATATACTATTCTAATAATACATTGTCACGCCAATATTATACAAATCCCTGCAATTGTATCAAATGTAAGGTTAATGTTAGCATCCTACAAAAAAACAATATAACAGAATGCCGTCTTCTCAATTTTAGAGTTTGTCAAAGTTGGAAATCTGACTCAATTTCGTTTGAAAGAAGGTTGCCCAGCAAAGTACCAGTGGTGCAAAAATACACCTAAAATACACCTTGGACAATTAATAATTGCTGAATTGATGGCTTTGATTGGCTACACATTGCCATATTTAGTTACAAATGGACTGTTTTCAAAAGTTGTTGGTCCAAGAAAGCAGGTACTTCTATCTTATAATATCTTTTTCAAACGAAAAAGGCTGCTCATGTGGTGATTTAGTTTATGACAGGCATTTCTAATTCCCGGCCCGCGGGTCAACTCTGGCCCGTGGGTTAACTCAGGCCCGCAACAAATTTTCATCCTGCCCGCTGAATGCTTTTGCCTAAAAAATATCTCCTTTCCAAGACCTTTTTCTTTTTCATGTCAACATCAAAATAGATAAAACTTTGGAACCCATTATAAAAAACCTTAAGAATATTTTTTTGGATTTTTTTCCGTTAAAATCTATGTTAGTGGAAGATTCTGTCCATCCTTAGACTAGTAAAATCTAGTAAACCACCCATGGTGGCTTATACTATATACACTCACAATCATCACATTCTCCTCTCACTTTCAAAAACGTTTCACAGTCCCTGGATCTGACTACAAGGACTTCAAGTCCACATAACAAAGTCTTACAATTATTATCGTCCCAAGCTATAAATTGCACAGTGAGGGCAAAACAGCGATCTTCTGACACAACCTGGTACAGAGAAACGTCAAGCTATGAAATATTGTGTAAATTTTTTTCTGGGATTATTTGTTATGCTACATTTTGAAGCTTTTAATCCAACCTCTTTCATAAAGTCATCCCTGGCCTCGGGCCTGTGAATCCATCGTGCATTGCTCAATGAACCAACACCTCCAGCATCTAGCAAGCACCATGTCCTTCAAAGTCGTTATTGGCCTCCCCTTTTCCCTCCAATCATCCACCTTTCCTAAACTTATTTTAAGAAAATAAGCATACTAAGATTTTATGAATAAAGAAATAATGGGCCTGTCTATCTTCTCTTTAATTTAGCTTAGTAAGTATGAGACCTTAATTTTATTTTGAGCAGTTCTTTTAACAAAGGTATGTAAAAGTTGAAAATTTAGTAGCCCCCGGAGAAAATCTACATTTTCTTTCTGGCCCAGCATTAAAAATACTTAAGAATTTCTTATGCCAAATTATTTTAGCCACGGAATTAGTCAACACGTTACAATATATTTCAACTGCCTGATTTAAACAAAGCAAATATTTGTGAAGAGTATTTCCCATCTAGACTGTTTATCTAGAAAATTGAAAAAAAACATTGGAATATTGATGCAAACAATTTGTTTTTCTACAGGGTTTTTATATTGCTGCTCTGTCTGCCAATTCGTGTCTATCAGGGATCACATCACCATTGTTAGTGGCGTATATTTACGAACATTTGGGACCCAAATATGTTTTCATTACGATTGCTTCTATTTTATCACTTTTTATTTTAGTCTTCACTTACTTCTATAGCAGGATAGTACCTTTTGAAGAATACATTAAGAAAAACTAGAGTATGGAAATCAAAGTTTTTGAAGTTTGTTAGATTTTTTTGACTAACAAAAATAAAGTTTTAATGAAATGTTGTGTTGATTTCTAGTTAATCGACTTTTCCTTGATTTATCAATTTAGCAGTTAAGGAATGTAAAGCATTGAGTAAAGTTTTGGAAAGTATATTAGGGTAAATGTAAAGTAAATCGTTCACGCATACCTAACCAAATTATATCAAATCTGATATCAAATTCTAATTTTTCAAGGCCGGTGTAGTATGCTAATCGGCCCCCCTATGCAAAAGTGTCCCCTTTGAGGCAGTATGCGTATCAGTAACCTTCGTGAAACGGGTAGCATTACATTGACTATGTGGTAATGGCGGAAGTGTATAGCGAAGCTTCGAAAAAAAGTTCAGGATGCTGATAAATTCTTAAGTTCAAGATGACTGTTAAATTTACTGGAAATCAGTGGCGTAACGCACGGTGTGCACCTTTAAGCACAAAACCAAGGGCCCCGAAACGTTTGGGCCCTGAAGGGGCCCTTAAGAAGTTTCTCAAAAAAAATATTTTTGGATGTATGCATATGTTTCTTAATAGTATTCACAGCAGCATTGAAATGAGCGTATTTTTTTGTTGAGCAACCACGATATTAGAGATATCTAAAATCGAATAGATTTCCTCAATGAAGCAGTTTGAAAATGGATATCTTTCCAGTCTAGTAATGCTTTCAAATGCACCGGTCGATGTTCTTGCTTTCATTTCACGATGTCTTCAAATCCCAAGCGCGTTTATGAATCTTGTGCGAGCAAAGGGACCGAAATGAAACGAAAAGTCGAAGCAGCTAAATCAAACACAAAGAAAACTTCCCTTTTTTAAAAAAGCAAAGACCAAGATCTACCAAGTTCAAGTCTCGCTACGCAGAAGTCACGAGAAAAGTCACGAGCTCTGTCTTTGATGAATCTTCTGAAACTCTTGAAAGGAACGATGAAGTGCAAATTAACCTTTAACTCAAGCAATATCATACCGCTAGATCTTCCAAAATCTTATCCAACTGATCATGGTCATCTTTTTGAAGATGTGCTTGATGCTGATGTTTGGAGATTGATTTTGCAGCATGGGTCATGCCGACCAGGTGGTTCATTAGAGTGCATTAGGGAAGATGGATACATCTATACAAATTTTACTGCTAGATATTCTAATAAACACATTAAAACATTTCAGTTCTAAGGCTATGGCTCTGTTATTCGATCCATGGAAACATGGGAAAAGCTTAGATGAAGATCATGAGGAATAACAAAGGCAGCAGAATTTATCCTCGAATGTTGTATATTAGTTCTTTATGCTTTTCAGGAAAACGTCAAAGAGCGAGTACTCCAGTGGCGTAACGGAGCAGTGTGGGGCCCTTACTTAAAGAAGTTTTTCTGTATAATTATAATTCAATTCTTATTAATGCTTTCAAGTATTTTGCAGACCTTTTTCAGACATTTTTTCAGACCTTTCAGACCTTTGGGAGATTTTTGGTAGACCTTCTAACCAGTTCATAGACTACAATGTTAGTTTAATTTTGTGGTTCTTAACTTTCATTAGCCAGACCTAATCAAGAAAAACAAATCAATAATATTACTTATGGATATGATAAGAATAAATGCATATGGATATAAAATGCACAAAATCAACTGTGTTAGCCACATCAAGGGTAGGTAGTACCTAGGTATTTCCTTGTTTGCCACTTAGCCTTTCAGTGTATCTTTCAAAAGAGGTAAAGGAAATTGTGGTGGTTTTGAAAAAATAAAGGAAGTGCAGAAGTTTACAGCTGATATTTCATACAAAATCTCAGTGTAAAAAGATTAGTTACTAATTGGAGTGGAGACCATCCTACTGTAGGTATTGGGGCTGCAAATTTTTTATATGGCACAAGGACCTTTGGGAGCTTATCTGACTTTCTGGAGACGAGATGTCTACAAATTGCGATTGTTCCTCAAATTTGAAGGGAAGGGAGGGGGGGTTCTTTGGGTGAGATCAGATACCAAGATTCTGCATAGAAAATTCAGAATTCTGCAATAACGCAATTCTGCAAGGAAATTTTCTTTTTACCGCAATACCGAGCTTTCAAAATGAAAACTACAAAATATCTCTGAGTTTAGATCCAGTCACGTGAATTTCGATTAATTCTATACATCAAATTTTATGTAAAACTGTTTTATGCACGATACAAGCATGCATTATATTGCCCCTACATTGGAAAATTTGCAATATGTACACAACTCTTCTAATCACCATATATGAAGCTTGACCCTTTTTTATCAAACTATCTAGCATATATTAATGGCGAATCGTATCTTGCAATTGTCCTAACAGAGACTCCTTACTGAAAGGTTTTATGTAAAGATGTAACTAGAATATCAACGACATAGTTGGGTATCAAAGGAGGGGACATAGAAACTGCTTTGACAAAGAATTACATTCTTGCTTCTGATACCAAAGAGTCTGAGTAAAATGGATTATCTGTCAACGTTAAAAGTTGAAAACATTATTTCGCTAATGCTTACTAAGAATCAATGGAGATAAAGCTGGACACTGGTCACTAGGCAACTGAAAACTGATCATAATGAAACTCCTCTTCGCTACGAGAAATTCCATACAATGATGTATTTTGGTACAGGTCATTTCAAATACAAATTGAATGAGATTTGATCTTTTCCAGAACAACAAGACTAATATTCGCTGATTCTCTTTAAAAGAAATCACAGTAATCATTTAACATAGCCCTCGTCGAATTTTTCCAATCTTTCTTCATTTCAGAATTGAGGAAAGATACTCCACTTTTTTCTCTTTAGAAAGAATCCGAGTATTAACAATAAATCGAAGTTTAACCAAAAACGGAATAAAAAAATGGATACACAAAAACATATTAATATTCAAGTCCAAAGTTTCAATTTTCAAATCAGGGTCGTAAATCTGTCATGTCAATTGGGGGGGGGGGGGTCAGCAGAGCTTGAGCGGCAAACGACTTAAGAAACAAAAAGAAAGATTATTAGATTTTGTAAAGTTATTTCAGCTCTATAGAAGATATTTACAGATATTTTTGGTAGAAGGTATTTACGGACACTTTTGCATGGGGGGACCGAAACGCATATAACACCGGCTAGAAATTAAATGAATTATTTAATTTTCTTTAGCCTTCCGCCATTATTTATTCCTATATTTAAGCCATGCTATGGAAACAGCGGTTTTCTTTTTAGAATGAAGGGTCTTGAGACAAAAACACTGCTGTGACACTGCTTTTGTTGCAATTCATCCTGAAAGTTTTTCGGAATTTGGCCTTTATATAGAGGCTCAGCTACATATTGTAAGATTACTTTTTTGGAAGGCCTAGTTTTTGTTATGGTAACAATTTTCTTGCCTTTCAAAGTTGTTGTCTTGTTCTTTCTAAAGGCTGGTCCATTTGGAATTATTGTTGCTAGTGCTCCTCAGATTGAGACATTTTCATGTTTTGTTGGTGTTTCTTTGCATGGTACGGAATCGACCTTTCATTGTTGCGTCGGTTCCTCAAATGATGGGTGTCGACCATCTTATTATTATTTTTATTATTATTATAACATTATTTACAGTTGGTTAAAATACTGTTAGTTCTTACTTGAACTAATTAAGACCAACTATTTACATAAAAAGAAATTCTAATTACAATAAATACAATAAATATGTACTTCTGGTGAGATTCCCACGGACCTTTTATCTACATATTTTACATGTGCAACTATCACCTTTCCACTCTTTAATTGATTTCTTAAAGCTAGCACTGGCTGTCAGGCTTTTTATTGAGTCAGGTAAAGTGTTCCAAAAGATGGCACCCCTGAAGGATAGTGAATCATTCCCATTTGTCATTGTGTTTGTGCTTTGCAACTGTAGAAGATTTTTAGTCCTTAGGTTATAGGCTACATCTTTTGCACGGAAGGTTTACCGCATAAAAGATGGGTTTTCCGAATTGAGGCGTTTATATATTTCTAGCATCAATTTTTCCAAATTTTGTGTGTGAATAGTGCTTTCGCTACCCCGAGCTGAAAGTTCAGCAAAGGGGGCTGCGAAGTCCCCCCACATCATTCTCAGTGCCTTTTTGTGGACTCTGTTTATTGCTGCATTGGCATCTTCCCCACAGAACATCCAGATTAAAGGATAATAATTGAAGTTTGACATGATATATGTATTGTAAAGAATATGTCTTTTGTCCTGATCTAAATATTTTGCTACTCGCTAAAATGCGCTGGTCTTGCTGTTTGCTTTCGTGCAAAGTGTGTTTACATGCTCGACAAATTTTAGCCTAGAGTCTATAGTAATACCTAACAGTTTGACTGTGATACCTGCAGGAATGGGTTGGTTATCAATTTCAAACACGTACTCCTGGTCTGGTTTCAGACCAAGATACATGACTTGAAATTTGGAAGGATTTGCAACCATTCCATTGTCCCGAAACCAACACAGCGCAATATGGGTATCATCCCTAAGATAAGATACAGCCCGTTCTAGATACTTTGACTGCATGCATATATAGTATTGTCATCTGCAAAATTACAGTATTCTGACTTAGCAATGACATATGTGAAATCTTTCATGAAAAAGTTAAACAGAAATGGACCTAGCACTGAACACTGGGAAACCCCAGGTTCTATGTTTAGCCATTCACTAAATGAGTTGCCTATCATTTAGAACAAGTCAATATGATAAAGTTTCGAGTTAATTCGAGTTTATTCCCACGGAGAAAATGCGCAGATTCTCCTTTTTTAGAGTCGTCCAACACGTATATCCTTAGGAGACTGTCAATATCAAATTACTTTAGCAAGTTGCAAATAACCTTGTGGGTTTTTTTACGAGGCATTGCCCTTGCATATTTGTTTAAGCACAGTAATGCAGTACTAGTCACGCCATATTTTGCAGCACGAGTCACGCCATATTCTGTGCGTTGTTTCCCCTCACACCCGGGTTCCCTCTATTCGTGTCTACTTCGCGGTTTAGTCCTATATGTATTTCCCTCTGCCTCCTTTTGCCTCTCCTTTTCTCGCACAGTCATTCGATTGTGTGACAGCTGTATTAATCTGATTGGC